CTAATGTTTTGATAAAAATGTATAAAAGTCACAAAACAATCGTAATATTTTCCATTAATTGCTAAGATCACTTTTTATAGTTTCAGCATGCACTACCATTTTTATGGTACCGTGCCACACAAAGGACTTCCTGTGCTTTGCAGGCCTCTATGCAAATAAATTTGAAAACCTGTATAAAAGGGATATTTTTGTATGGAAAATAGAGATTACCAAAATTGATCCTGTTGGAAATAGAAAATTTAAATAGACCAATTTCACAGAAAATTGTTACTAAAACACCACAGTAATTATTTCAGGCAAAATATCCACAACTGGATGCTGAAATTAGTCCACAGCAGTTTGAAGAGAATCAGAATTTTTAGTAGTTCTCAAAGTATCTCGCCCAAGGTAGCTATTAATTGAAGAAGGAAATAAAGTAACTGAAAAGTAGCAAAAACCCAGCCAGATCCTATTTTGACCAAGTGGTCCAAGTTTAACATCACCAGTAATAAGATTGCAGCATCATATATCCCTGACATGGTGGAATGATAACGGCACAGCACCACTTTAATATATGACTTCAATCTGTTCATGAAAAAACAGGTAAACCCAAATTGCAGGGACATTCTACAAAATACCTGACCAGTTGTCTTCAAAAGTGTTAAGGTAATGGAAAACAGACATAAGAGAACAAATTGTGCAGGATCACACTTTATAAAATATCTAGAATAGGCAAATGCATAGAGACTAAAGTTTATTCTTGATTACCAGGGTTAGATAACAGGAAAGGAGAAGTTACTGCTTAAGTTTCTGTTGTCGCTGATGAAAACTTTGGGAACAGATAGAGGCAGTGGTTGCACAGCATGTTGCTGAATTGTACACATAAAAGTGGTTGAAGTGGCAGATGTCTTGTTAAATACATTTTACCACAATAAAAAAGTATTTTAAATGTGACATTGCATAAACCTTGTCATGAAAGACAAAGACTGAGAAACTGTCACAGATTAGAGGAGAATAAGGAGACATGGGAGTCAAGATGTGGCATTGTGGAATACTGCACTGGACTGCAAGGTTGGTTTGAACCAAATGGTTGGTCGTTAAATTTACCAGTTGCTCCTTGGAAACCCTATGTTAAGTTGTTGTTTCGTGCCAATGAATAAGTCCCAACTCATAGTGACCTTGTATAGAGTCTCTAAGAAGTGACTGGTGAGCCTGAACCGCCAACCTTGCGGTTCAAACCAACCTTGCCATCCAGTGCATTAACCCATACCTCCACATCAGGACTCCCAGAAACCCTGTACAGGGTTGCTGTGAGTCAGAACTAACTCTATGGTACTTAACAACAACAACATAATACTTTTTTTTTTCCCCCACTCAGGCATATATAATAAATTACATCTCCAAAGGGCACATTCTGCAAGTCTGCTCCTGGCCACCAGCTCTTAGTCCTTCTCTTCTTAGTTGATGAATC